CCCCGCCACGACGCTCTTCCACTCCATGCCGCTCCGCAACGTCGTCTCCTGGAACTCCATGATCGCCGCCTGCGTCCGAAACGGCGACCTCCGCCAAGCGCTCCGCTACTTCGCCGCCGCGCCGGAGAGGAACGCCGCCTCCTACAACGCCGTCATCTCCGGGCTCGCGCGGCTCGGGCGCGTGGCGGAGGCGCGGAGGCTCTTCGAGGAGATGCCGCGCCCGAACGTGGTGTCGTACACCGCCATGATGGAGGCGTACGCGAGGGCGGAGGGCGGGATTGGGCGCGCGAGGGCGCTGTTCGAGGCGATGCCGCGCCGGAACGCCGTGTCGTGGACGGTGATGATTAATGGTTTGGTGGAGAACGGGTTGTGCGAGGAGGCGTGGCGAGTGTTTGCGAGAATGCCGCAGAAGAGTGACGTTGCGAGGACCGCTATGATTACTGGGTTTTGTAAGGAAGGAAAAATGGAAGAGGCAAGGGCTTTGTTTGAAGATATTCGATGCAGAGATCGCGTTTCTTGGAATATAATCATAACGGGTAAGCCAAGGTTTTTACTTTCAACGTTTCAAACCCCAGTTCGCGCCAATGTGTGTAGTTAGCTTATAGTTATAACAGGAAAAAAAAAAAAAAAAAACTTTTCTTTTAATGGAACTAGAGACTCTAACTAGAAAAGGCAGGTAGTTAAGCTTCTAGTTATTCTGTTATTAGTTTTATTTTTAGAACAATTAAGATTTAGAGAAAGCTTTCTAACAGCAACTCAGCATCTATTCTATTTCTAGCATGCCTTTTTGCCATTCTGCCATGTCAATTTTGGCTCTATAATATGGTTATTCTGAAGGAAGTCATAAACCACTGGTTTCATGTGAATAAAACAATGAAAGCTGACACCTTGATAGGTGGGTAATGCCGTAAAAGATCTTCACAAAATTCATTAAATAAATCACACACTCTCTTATCATCCTGAAGTTCTGGATCGGGTGTAAAGATACTTACAAACTGAAAAACGTCATTTGGTTTGGTCAAAGGGGTGAATTGTCATCAAAACCCAGCTCCAAATCATCATATATTTTTGGTGTCTGGTTTTGATGATAACTCACCTCCTTGACTTGTGAAGTATGATTCTCCAGAGTCCTGAGCTTCAGGAGGATAATGAAGACTGTGATTAATCAAATGGATTTTGTGAAGATCCTTTGTTTCATTTCTTACCTAATAAGTTGTCAACCTTCGTTGTTTTATTCACAGGGAACAAACGGTTCAGAACTTCGTTCAGAATAACCCTACTGTAAAGCCAAAGTCTGACTTGGTCAACGGTGCCGGGGAAGCATTGCTAAGACATCTCACGGCTGTTCTTACCAATGATGACGTAACTGCTCAATTCAATCATGTTGATGCATCTTCTATTCAAGGTGCTTGCTAGAGTAGATGTTTTTGCTGTAGGAAAGCTATCATTAAATCTTGCATTAAAAAAAATTAACGAATAAGAACTACTACAGGGGAAGAGGCTTATTCTGTTAGAGTCTCTAGTTCTATTAAAACGATAATAATCATGTATGTCTTTTGAAAGAAAAGGTCGGATCCTCTCTCCCTGCTATGCAATATAAAGCTTGCTTGCTCTAAAATTAAGCTCAATTTAGAAAAGCCTTATCCATTTATAGCATATTTTGATTAAACTGTTGAGAAAAAACAATAACTTGTGGTTCTAGAAGGAGGAGATTGTTTTCTTCTACTCTGTCATTACCTTTTGTTTTCTTAATTATTCCATCTTTTCACAATTGCTTCAACGATTGTAGGTTGTGCCCAAAATGGGAGAGGGGAAGAGGCACTGAACTTGTATTCACAAATGATCAGAACTGGTATGCAACCAGATGACTTGACTTTTGTGTCAGTTTTCACTGCCTGTGCAAGTCTTGCATCGCTTGAAGAAGGAAGACAGGCGCATGCTCTTGTAATTAAGCATGGCTTTGGTTCAGATTTGTCTGTGAGTAACGCCCTGATTACTATGCACAGCAAGTGTGGTGGAATTGTTGATTCTGAGTTAGTTTTTGGACAAATTTCCCATCCAGACCTCATTTCATGGAACACTATCATTGCTGCATTTGCACAGCATGGTCTCTATAACAAAGCAAGCTCCTACTTTGACCAGATGGTGACATACGGTATTCAACCCGATGGCATAACTTTTCTGAGTTTACTATCTGCGTGTTGTCGTGCTGGGAAGATTGATGAGAGCATGAATCTGTTTAGATCGATGGTTCATAATTATGGTATTCCACCAAGGTCTGAACACTATGCATGCTTAGTCGATGTGATGAGTCGAACAGGTCAATTGCAGAGAGCTTGCAGATTAATTGACGAAATGCCATTCAAGGCAGATTCCAGCATCTGGGGTGCTGTGCTTGCAGCCTGTAGTGTTCATTTAAACGTGAAATTGGGGGAATTGGCAGCTAGAAGAATTTTGAATTCGGATCCTTATAATTCTGGTGCCTATGTTATGCTGTCTAATATATATGCTGCTGCTGGCAAGTGGAAGGATGTCCATAGAATCAGGGTTCTGATGAAAGAGCAAGGAGTTAAGAAACAAAGAGCTTACAGTTGGTTGCAGATTGGAAACAAAATCCATTGTTTCGTTGGAGGGGATCCATCACATCCTAATATTAAGGATATTCATGTTGCTTTAAGGAGGATAACATTACATATGAAGGTAAAAAGTGTCTATGAAGAAATTTTCTTGTAAAAGGCTGCGAGCAAGTTGTGAAGATATATATTTTAAGTGATTTCTGCTGTGCCTTGTTATTTTAATTTGCACGGGTATATTTCTACGTCAGGCTAATTATTTAGAGACAATTAGCAAATTTTTTACACGTAAGTTTATATCTCTTAAATTTAGATAAAATTGCAAAATAGTCCATATAAAATTATAAATTAGTAATTTTGAATCTCAAAACCCTTCCATCCCCGTTTGAACATGTTTAGGTCTTTCAAAGAAGCAAGATTGGATTCTTGAGTGTGCCACACACAACACACAGAGTCTTTTCTTTAAAATTTGAAAGTGTTTTTCTCACAATTTCACTTAATTTCAAAATGAGAAGTGTCAACATATGGACGATTTTCATGTGTCTGATGCTGACCTTCTTCACTCGCTTTCAATCACTCTCTGTGACGGTAAACAACGTTGCCTACGAGTATATGCTTTACGACGGCAACACTGTTTCTGATAACTTTGTTTTGTTATCATCGACCTTGACATATTCTGGAGCTTCGACTCACGGTCTGTTTATTGTACTAATTTATTCAATTTTCAATTTATTTGCCCTTAGTAAAAGCCAAAAATCAAACTAGAGGTTAAGATTGAGTTAAAAATTATTTTAGTTTGATCCATTTCAATTAATAGCTTATGTTTGTGTTACAGGGAAATTTAACACACAAAAATACCAAAGAAAAGTAAAAGGATCTTATTTGAATTTGGGAATTCATACCTATTGATATATGTGGTTCAGTATTTAATTTTGTCAAAAAGCCCACATAAAATTGTGAGAAAAGTGCTTTCAGATCTTAAAGAAAATATTTTTTGTGTGTTGTGTGTGACACTGATGAATCCAATCTTACTTCTTTGGAAGATCTGAGTATGCTCAAACGAGGATGAAATGGTTTTGAGATTCGAAATTACTAATTTATAATTTTATATGGACTATTTTGTAAGTTTATCTAAATTTAAGAGATAAAAGTTTACGTGTAAAAAATTTGTTAGTTATCACAAAATGATTGATATTACATAAAAATGTATCAGTACAATTTTAAATAAGAAAGTACCATAGAAATTACCTATATTTTATTGGGAGCCATTACCAGTTACCACGGGCGGATCAACTTTAACTCTAAGCTTCAGCGCTTATTGCGAGAGTAAGTAGCTCTAACTTTTACCGATAAAAAGCTTGGTATTTGAAAATTCAAGCCAAATGTTCAATTTAATAATCGGGGGCTGGGAAGATCTAAGGGTTCACAACATTGGTAAATTGATATTGTCCATATTTAGCTATAGGATTCTCTTCCACCATAATGGCTTAAGTTATATCATTGATAATTAATTACGCAGAGCTAATTTGGGTGTGATATGTTATGTTGTTTGTTAGATTAAAAAATCTTATTAAGGTGTGATATTGTTTTACATATTAGATATTGGTTGTCTGCTCGAAATTAAAATTAAAATTATATATCATATTGTAATTATGCTAAAATGTTTATTTGTTCATTCAGAAAAATATCTATTATATAGGAGATATATTGCCGAAATTTCTATAGGTTTTTCATGTCAAGTGTACTCCTTAAATCATGTAGAAAATGAAATGTTATCCTCGTTGGATCTATGATAAGTTTTGTCAATGAAGAAGGGGGTTAGTACTTAGTATCCTTGTATAAAGTCCATGTTTACAAAAAAATATTTCTTTCTATATTGTGAAGCTGTGCTTATATAATATACGTATGAATTTAAACCTAAAAGTTTTTGTTTTCTTTCTTTAAGGCAAGACATTTTGTCTTTAAAATATCAACACTGTTGAAATGTTTCTATCCATATTATTGACAAGTTTTACACACATATATATATATACTAAGTAAAAGAAAAACTAATGATAACTTGGAGAATGCTAATAACAGATTTTATAACGCATTTTTCATTTCAAGGGACAAATATAAATCATTTCATTAATTATAAATTAATGGTTAAAATTATGATAAAATACATTTATAAAGTAAATTATTAAATTACTGTAATCTCAATATTATTTTTTTAATACCTGTTATAACTTTAAATTTTATTCTCTAAACACCATTGATTTTTTTAAAAAAATAAATTTAATTGATAATCATTCTTGCTATGCTTACGAAGAGTTCCATTAAAAGCTAGATGTTACTATGTTAGTCTGAATGACATTCTCATTGTTCCCGGCAATAAGGTTGGACTATCTTATTAGGCCTTTCTACGAAGTATGCTGAAAATTTCAAGATTATGTTGTCACCATCCAAATTGTTAACTTTCAAAAAAATCGGCAATCAGGCATTCACTATAAACCCCACAAATTGAGGTTTGTTGGATATATGTATAATATGTTGAAGAATAAATAGTACAATCAATAATTAAATGAAGAATTGGGAGATAGTAAGACGTAAGGAACTCAAAATTCTTGGGAAAGATGTATTGTCACTTACACCATTTTTCTTTGAATAAACATATAGTAAATGAGAAAGGATAAGACTCATAAGAGTAAATTACATTCTTATTCTTGAAATATGTTAATATTACACTACTCTGTTAAAAATTATAGTATTCTATTTTGATAGTTTTCATGTATAACATTTTATCTATTTTTTAAATATTTCATTAAATTTTTGTTAAATTTTATTATAAAAAAATATTTTTAAAAATACTCTTTATAATACTACCCTCTTTTAACTAATTTAAATATGTTACACTTAAATAATTTATCTTTTGATTTATATATTTAATTATTATTTGAAAGATTATTTAATTATATATCTTAAAAAGGTATTTTTTATTATTATCTTTACAAAAATACTTGTAAAGTTATATATCAAAATAAAAATAATATATTTATATAAATAAAATAAAATCATATACAAATTTTAAGATATTATTAAATCGATGTAATTAATATAATATTTTTATAGACATTTAAATAAAATAGTATTTTCATTATATAGTATTATGATATTATTTAATTGGTGTTATTGATATTTAAATAACATTTAAATAGATAAGTATTTTATGATAAAGTATTATTTATTATATTTAATTAATGTAATGCTAAAATATGTATATTGAATATATAATTTTAAAATAAATATATTTACATTAAAAATTTATTATTAAATATAATATGATTATTATAAAATTTAATACTTATATGTAAGTTAATTTATGTTATATATATTGATATATATATATATATATAATATACATATGTAATTTATTTTATAGTTTCTATTTTATTTATTATTTTAATAACTATTTTAAATTTAATTATATGTTTTACAAAATTTTAATAATGAATGAAAAATGATTAAAAAATAAATAAAATATGCTTTAATTAAAAATATATTTTTTTATGATGAATAATTAAATTAAAAGATTATTTTTATGAATAATTAAATTAAAAGTATTTTTTAAAACCTTATAATGATTGTTTTTTAGCGATGTCTTACGATGCAATGTGTTACCGTGTTGTTTAGGTTGCTATGTTGTAAATTTTTGTTGTGTTATAAGTGTTGTATTAGAAATTGTGTTGTTTTTATATTGAGTTGATATGTTGAAAAGTTGTCATGCTAATATGCTAGTAAGTTGTACAGTGGTGTTGTAAGTTGAGATGTTGACATGTTGTTAGGTTGAGAAATTGTGTTAAAATGATTGTTCTATGTTGTTAAATTGGGCCTTAAGTTGATGTTTTGTTGTGTTGATTAAGCTTGTTGGTATAATTAGTTTATTGCTTTTGTACTATGTTATTTTCTTAATTACGAGTTTACCCTTATATTTTTCTTGTTGTTGAACTGTGAGAATCATATTATTATGAGAGCAATGCAGGATTAGGCTATAAGGCAAGCAATATTTTAAGTGTCATATTGGAGATGGTGGCGGCTTTTGAGTGGTGTTGTTATGAGGCAACATGTATATAGTAGTTGTTTGATTGACAACTTAAAATTTTATGTTTTATAGTTGGATAATTCTCTATGTGTGTGTATAGAATTTTGATGTAATGTCACCAAGGAATTTTCATTTATGTTTTCAGTTGTTATTTCGTATACATATGTTGTTGCATAGATGTCCAATAACTATTGCATGTTAATTGTAAGTAATTAGATTATTTTTTATTGCTTAGTTGATGAGCTGTAAAATATATGAATTTGCCAAGTCATTATTGTAGATCCTAAGGCCTTTGATACATTGTTCTAAAATATAAACACATAGTTTGTTTGAATTTTGCATAAAAATATAAATAATATAGACATAATTAAAAATTTCAACACCAACATCATATACATACTTCTCATAATAAATTACCTAACTTGTAAAGAGGCATAGTAACATGATAAATCAAAATGAAGTTTGTTTATTTTAATCATTGTTCTCTTATGGGTGAGTTTAAAAAAGGCAAGGATGAAAAACTAAAATTCAATCTTATCTTTGTATGAATTGGGAAAATCTTCTTATGAATTCGCTTAGGCCTTGTTTAGGGTGGTTGTGAGTTTGTGACTTATGAATTTTATATTTTTCATTTTAAAATACAAAATTGAAATCAAGATGTGTTTGAATAAATTGGGTTGAGTTATTTTTCACTTATTTTTAAAATATTTTTCACCTGATTTTATAATCAATGAAAAAAAAATCTATTATTTATTTTAATTTTCACACTAACTCTAGTCACTGTTGTTATGTTTTTGTTGTTGTCTCTTACTTTCTTCACCATTGTTCCCTTATGCTTGTGGGTGGAGCTTGCTTGTGTTGCACTATCTTTCTTCTACTTATAGGTGGACTTCATTTGTGTTTATGTTATGTCCTTCATGTCATTATTGGATGCTTGTATATTTGCTATCTTAATTTTTGGCATGTCTTTCACATTCTTTTGTTTCTTTGATTATTATTTGTAATCCTTTGTGTGTTGGTCTCAAATTCTTTATATAGAGGTCATGATTTATTTGTTTATCCTCCTTTTTTAATGAAGGCAACTTTTTAGTATATGAATATTCAATTGTAGCCATTAAAATTCAATCACACTCTAAATATGTATCTTGTTGCTCTATCGTTAGTTCACTATAGTAGGATATCTAACTTGACTTTTATGTTACTAATAAGAC